TATATCCGATAGACACAAAATTAGGCCCGATTTTGTTTCCAAACTGACCCAATGTTTACATTTTAAATTTTCGAAAAACATAAAGATATCACATGGGCTGGATTATTCAAATTTTGGCCAAAAAGATTACTCAATTTAACAATTATTTTACGCGGGAAACCAAATGTTGTTTTTGCTGATTTTTAGTTACTATTCAAGTAAATATAATTACGTCTTTATATATTAACTAGTATGAGTCCCGTATAGTGCACAAGTAAGAAATATTTATTAATATTTATAAATTAAAAATTATTATTACATAATAGTTATAAATTAAAAATATGGAATCAATATGTAATACAATTTACTTATATTAATTTATAAAAAATGTTATATAAAGTTTAAGCTTTGCAAAATAATATAAAAATGTCTACTTAAAACAAGTATACAACCCGTGCTGTGCAAATAACTGATAATAAATTACATTATATTTGTTCTAAATAAGTGTCATTTCAAAAATTTTATTCAGAAATTCAATTTGACCATAATGTGATTCCATAAAACAGTTATATTGATAAAATTTTATCATATATTTAACACCCTATGTGAATAATAAGTATAAACTAGTACGTACCCCGTGCGATGCACGGGAGAGAGATATTAAATGAATTATTTTCACTGGCTTTATCCGTTTAAGTCTGAGAAGGGTTATTATCCATTTTCCACCTATTTTAATCACCGTTACATCTCGTTTAAGTCTGAAAAGAGTTATCATCTATTTTCATCCTCTTTTAATCACCGTTAAGTCTAAAAAAATAGGGTTGTAATCTATTTTTCGCATCTTTTAATCAGCGTTGTTTTATTAGTCAGAACATTAAACGTGAGCATGTTAGGGCTAACTTGTACAATAATTAATATATTATCTCACTAACACATTTATACTAATATAAATTTAATTTTATTATATATATTTATTCCTTGATATAAGAAAAAATAACAATTTTACTTATTCTTATTCACTATATAATAGTTAATTATTAAACTCTATTGCCATATAATGTCATTTTTATTTATAAAGTTATACANCTTGGGTAGGCTAGCCGTGTCATTTGATTTGGTTTGCTGGTTGTATAAAACTGAAGCTGAGGAACATACATAAAAATTTCAGCTTCATGCACTGAGAATTGTTCAATTGATTCAAATTAAAAAGTTTGTTGTAGCTGATGTCCTGCTTCTCCTTTTTCTTTTGATAAACTTGACATCTTTGTGCAAAGGGACATGTAACTCCTTTTGAGCCCGGCTTGGGAACAGTCCACCAAATGTTGTTTGAGGGTAAACACAGATTTTGAATTTAAAGCACGAAATCTGTTGAATACCATCAAGGAGTTTGAGTGGTATTGGGGTCTCGACTGGTGAAAAATATGGGTATTTTGAATTTGTTTGTCTGGGTGTTGTAACTTGTAACCAGTTTATGAATGCCACACTTTTCTGAAAAAATACACAGGGATATTTATGGATTGATCGCTGTGGCCAGCAACTTACAAAGCACAATTAGGGGTAATTTGCACTTCTACGTTAAGGATTTTAAAATAATTGCATAAATGCAAAAATAAAAACTTATTTGCAAATATACCTAAGTTAATATAATTATTTGGATAACTATAATATAACTGCCAAACAAAAAATAAAGAGTTACCATCCCAAGAATCCCCTAACTGACGGGATTCTTTCATTAATTAAAAAAAAAATTTCTGAACTAAACGTTCGTGATTCTTTCATTAATTAAAAGAAAAAGAAAATTTTGAACTAAACAATCAGGAGCAATGTCATCCCATCACGAGCAGCAAATATACAGAAAAATATACAGAATATAAACAGTATATATATGAAAAATATACACTATATATACCTAGGATCATTTTCTAAGCAACGAGATGGTGGAGAACACAACATATATAGAAAAAATAAAGAATATAAACAGTATATATACGAAAAATATACAATATATATTTCTAGGATCATGCCGATCATTATGATTTTCAATTCAAATCTTTCGTACAAAAAATTCAAACTATACACACTCTAATAGTGTGCATACTAAAAAATATAAACAGTATATATGCAAAAAATATATAGTATATATACATACAACTACATAAACAACAAAAAAAATATATAAATATACTACATATACAACATATATATCGTCTATTCTGGTCCTCCTCTCAACTAAAACCTAACAACAAAATTCTCCGATCGTCCTTCGTCTCCACAAGGCGCCTTGGACAAACTCTGTCAGTGGAGATGACGGATCTGCGGGTAGGGATCTGGACCATACACACGTTCGACCTTGGGAGCGAGATGAGGTTGAGCGGGATGAGGTTACTGAATTTCAGGAATCCGGTGGGACCAAAGCCGTCTAGAGCGACGACAACCACGGCGAAGGCGGCGGCATAGCAGAGGACACAATAGAAGTCGTCGGGGCATGCGGAGGCGTCGGCGAGGGACACCCATGAGGAGAAGACGAGATCGGAAGGGGCGGATTTGATGCCTTTTTTGAATTCCAAGACTGATCGGGCTTGTTCGCAGAAGGCGGAGGCATGGCGGTGGAAGATGAAGAGGAAGAGGTTTTCTCTCGATATTAAAGTAGTCAGTTTTCTCTCAATATTAAATAGCATTAAATCTGCACTCCCTATAATTAAGGAAATTATATCTCACCTGTTTCTTGTATTATGGCAAATAAGATATTGAATTTTGTTAAATATGCTAAATACTTTAAATGGATCGTAAAATTGCAATATAATTTAATTGATCTCGTCTGTGGTGTAATTTTCTCAATTAGAAAGGGATTTATAAGTGTAATATAAATGAAATATGAAGGGATGGGGTATAAATTCCTCTAATTACTATGTTTGATCTTTGTGTAATCAACCCAAGTGTTCTACGTGAACATAATAGTTTCTATCAGTGTTCTAAAAGTCGCTAGGCGCCCGACCAGCGCCTAGCGCCTAGAACGCTTAGTCGGGCCTAGGCGGCGCTTAGTCGGGGCTCAAAAATTAATATTAAATATCTTATTTTTGATTTATTTTAATTACCTACAAAATAAAACTATCTCAACTTATAATAAATTCACACACTAAAGTCCAAATAATAATATTAATATATATTAAAGAAAACATGAGAACAAAATAATGTAATTAGTATTCAAAAAATATAAAAAAAATTAAAAAAAAACTAAAAAATTGCCGCTGAGCCCGCCTAGGAGCGCCTAGGTCCGCCTGCACCCGCCTAGACGCCGCCTAAACGCCTGGCCGATTTTTTCTACCGATTTGTACAAATTGGAGGCGTCCGGGCACCGCCTAGCGCCTAGGCCGATTTTTAGAACAGTGGTTTCCATATGGGATAAGGTAAACTTAGTCGTAATAATTATTAGGTATTACATACACATATAGTATCAAACAACCTCAGAAAACGAAAACGAAATCATGCTCTCCTTGTTGGATTTTGTACGTACGAATCAATTGCACGCGCAGCGGAATTTTAAAATTTTCTTACCAACAACGAAGATCCGGCTATAGCTATTCGATATGATCCTAGATCGCGTGAATGATAAACAAAAACTTACAGTTATTCGTCTTTTGTCCTCGACTATGGTATCCACGCAATCCAATTTTCCGGTGCACGATCTAACACCAATGAATCCCTTCCAGTGAAGAAGTTAGGAATCCTCGATCCAGAAAGCTAGAGAGTGTTTTATTTTTACGATGTATATTTTCTTCTCTCATCTAATGATCGTAAAAGACTACAATTAGATAATGACCTATTTATAATTAGGTCAAACCTAATTATATGGGCCGTAGGAGATCCTATGGCCCAATAGATAATTGGACTTAATCCAATAACAATTTAATTAAGTATAAATCTAATTTAACTTAATTAAATATTTTCTATCAAATAGAAAATAATTTCATAACTCATAAATAAATATTCAATCCAATTGAATATTTAATACTCTCGATTCACTCTTAGCCGGAAAACTGATTGCTTATTGTGTGACCCTATAGGCCTTTATATATTGACATAAATCTAATTTATGATACTTACGAAACTCCTAGACTGCGTCGAAGGACGAACTCAAAATATGAAGTACGTTTACATGGACAAGCAAACAAACCTTTCGTGTAGAACTCAATAGTGATGGTCCCTTCATTCACGAACCACTCGATTAAGCTTAGGATTTGAACGTGTGTCTATCCAAACAGCTTAATCATTTTATCTCATCTCACTGGTTGATTTTTATCAATTATATTTGAACACCGTTTCAAATATAATCACGTGCATTGGTCAATGACTTTATCAACCCAGTATAGAGAAAACGAGTGTTCTCTCGAAACTATATTCGAGGAATGAATCCTATCTTGGCTCAACTACCAGTTCCATGTATATCGTGATCAACCCAACACAAGCCCGTATCTACCCATAAGGGCGTAAGCTTTGGACTAGGTCTAAGTAAATCACTCTATACATGAATTGCGTATTGACCTCAAGTCAAAGGACTATTACACCATTCCACACACCGATACTCCCATAGACACATAAACAAATGGTTTATCGGTAGGGTATGCCAATATTCTCCAAAGTATCCATGTGTCCATCACGAATAACAATTATTCATAGTAGTGAGACATACTATATTCTCTAAGAATGTGATGCAAACCACATGTCAATCTATCGCGTATCATTAATATCCATTTCTTAATGATCATCGATTGAGGCGATTTGAGAGTTATACTCTATCAATTAACATCTCACTCTGTTAGCGACAGTATTAACTCAAGGGAACAATTAATTAATAAATTGCAAACAATCAAACAATTAATTAGTTAATTGCAGTACCATAATTATAATCTAATATAATTGTTAATGTGATCATGTATATATGTCCTCAAAAAGATTGTCTCTAGGACACATATACCAACAATCTCCCACTTGAACTAGAGGCAATCACCAATGTATCTAAGACACATTTTCTTATAATGACTATTGTGCTCAACTATGCACAATGGTTTGGTGAACGAACCATTCAAATAATATTCAGTTTGAACACGTTCTAACTTATTTCTCCTCTATCAATTATCTCTAAATAAATGATAGCGCCTTTGTACATGTTTATTTTGTTGTTGGATATTGGTGTCTTTGCCCGTGCAATCGCACCGTTTTATCATAATATGTAGATATTAGATAAATGACACTTGGAACTACCCCTAGTTCATTTAAGAACTCATGTATCCAAACAACCTCCATAGGCTTTTAATGCAACAATGTACTTGGCCTTGCAGTTGAATTCGCAGTGGTTTATTGCTTGAACTATTCTAGCTCACTCCAACATCATTGAAATGAATGTAACTATTAAATCATCATTCCCACCATAGAATAAAATATATTATTTAGTTCATCTAATGTACTAAATATGTAACGCCCCATTTCATTTTAAAGAATTTACCGAATTTATTTAATAAAAATCAGAGTTTTTTTTTTATTTTTTTTTTAAAGAATCCAAATTAAAACATTTATCGAGAAACGAGCGCTACTTATTAACCACAACAAATAAACACACTCAATCAAACAATCCAATGAACCTACTCGAGCAATGAAAATGACAATCTCATAAATCATAAATTTCAAAATCATTCCCGAACGATTAGCATGAAATCCAGGTTCAAACGAAATTCAAACATAGTTCGAAGGCAAATAAATTAATAAACCAAAGTATTTGAAAGCAAATAAGTAACAAGTTCAAGCACAACACATAATCAGTATACAAAATCAAGCAGGGATATAAACACATAATAAAGTATCCAAATCCAAGCGGGAAAATAATTCAAGTCAGCAGAGATGTTTTTCCCCTTCCGAATACGACGGCATGGGGCGTCCCTCCCGGATACAACGGGCAGGCGACCTCCTACTGTTTTCGCATTCATCAAGGCACTAGCGTTCGGGACACTTAGACTAGAGTTCTCATGCATACAAAAATTTTTCAAAGAAATATTACACGAAATAAGAAGTGCGATAAATATGGAATACATCACAAATGTACCCACCTGATAGCAGCAACAGTTCAAATCACAAATCTCGAGATGAGGCGAGGTCAACACCTCTAGGCACCTCATTAAGTCCAGATACTAAAGTCAACACTTTAATCTAGACCTATGTAGAAAATTCACAAATTGACTTAGCCGAACTCGAGTCGACCAAGTGGTTCGTGAAGTTCTGTGGATATGGGAACACTAGGACTTAGACTCGATCGAACCACATAATCAAGTTCACATAATCACAAGTGAAAGAGAAACAACGAGTCACATGTAGACACATAGCAAATTCAGTCAAAAACACTTAACCGAACATCACCATATAAAACAATTTCCGAAATTACACTTGAATTAGAAGGTATATCAAACCTACGATTTAGGCTTTGAAAATTTTACATAAAATTCACCTCCCAGAATTTAGTAAAAACACCCAGTTTCAACCTCAAACTCATTAAACCCAATTTTATAAAATTCACACAAGTTTTCAACAAAAACGAACTTAAATTAGAAACACATGATAATGAACGATTCAGGCCATGCAATTTTTATCTAAACTATTTAAGCATATTAGCAGCAACACATAGAAATATCAGCCATTAACACTAAGTATATGAATTTATAAAATCAAAACAACATTCAGCCAATTTTTGAATTTATATCAAAACTGAACATAACTGAACTCCAAAAATTCTAAACTTCTTACAGCATGATAAACATCACATAATCAGCATCTCCACAAATTTTTAGAATTTTTCAACTTCAGAAGAATTTATCATAATTAAAATAAATTTGGGCAGAATCACAACATAATTTGTTAACCCTATCAAACCTAGTTCAAAAATTCTAAAGATTTTACACCACATACAATCATGCCTGAAACATAACATACTCGAAAATTGGCTAGAAAAGAACACTACACAATTACTTACACATTTTACAAGAAACTGAACAGAAAATAATTTAATTTTTAAAAATAGCTAAACACCTTTAAAAATCACGAAATTTTTACAGCAGCTACATATTCATTAAAGTCAGCTGAACCTAAAATTTCAAGGCAATCGGACCAGTATTCAATTTCTGGTGAATTTTATATTAGAAACAGCAATTATAAACTTCGAAAAATCATAACGGCAAATATACACCTCCAATCGACACAAGGCCGACGCCATTGTGTTCGTAACAATTCTAAGTCCCTAAATCCACAGAAACTACTCACTTATAACCAATTCTAGTTCGATTCGTACGAATCGACGAGTTTCACATAAAATCTCGACAATATATATATACAACGAACAATTTCAAACACATATATATAGTTCAATGAACTCGTAAAGCACAACCGATCACAACATAATTCACATAAAACTAAACGAGAAGTCGAGACTCGATACCGTTCTCGGGAAACGAGCGAGAAAGGTTCGAACGAGAGAAGACGGCTCGACGGGGCTCGACGGCTTCGCGCGGCTCGCCGAGGAGAGAGCTGCGGTGGTCCTTCTCAATTGCGGGGTTGCTGCGATGGCCGAGGCATCCCGTCAAAAGTGCTGCTGCGAAGGAGGAGCTCGCCGGAATTTGCTGAAGCTCGCCGGAGT